ATATCACGAAATTGGAGCAAATCATTTGGACAATCTCTTTCTTTCTTTATCGAAGATTTCTGATAGATCTGGGTGATATCGCCAACCATGAAACTATCTCTTGCTTAATACACGCAAATTGGTGTATAAATAATATTGGCTAAAAAAATACTGCGTCTAATTGACAAAAAAATCTTTCAAAAATTAACATAATTTAATTACATGATTATTTTGTAAATAATTATTAAATAAAATAAATTTTTGTCGATTACGATTAGTAACTTTCTGTTTATATAATTTAATAATTATAAAAGAAACATAGCAATAATAATTTTACGCTTCCTAACTTGGGTTATATTATATAAAAGACGCCATAATATAACAATAAAAATGGAAATATATATTTATATATATAACACTTGATAAGTCAACGTAACAAAATTAAACTCACCATAATTGTTCCAATTATTCAAAACAACAACAATAATATCGGTCCGTGACTCGTAGCACCGTGCGAGAAAAGATCTTTCGGGCAATTTATTAATGGAAAAACAATACAAACGGAAAGAAAACTCAACAACGCGAGAATTGCCGGCAGATCAGAAAAAGAGAAAAAAAGGATCTCGATTATTGATACGGATCAATGATCGAGGATCCGCCGCCGCATGATCGGGGAACTGTCACTGACAGTAGTTCGGGAAACACTGACTGGTGTGGCGAACAAGCCTGCTGTCATTCTCTCTCTCTCTCTCTCTCTCTCTCTCTCTCTCTCTCTCTCGATCATTTACTCTCTTTCATTTTCCCTCTCTCTAGACATATTGCTCTCTTAGTCTCTCTTTCTCTTTCTCCCTCCCCCTTCTCTCTTTTTGCCAACCTCCCTCTTTTTAAACGGAGAGTACACTCTCTCTTCCTTGCACTCTCTGTATAATTTCGCAGCGCACCTCTAGACGGCGGCGACGACAAAGATATCGCAGCGATAATACAAAAGCGATGATAACGTCTGCGACAAAAACGTTGACACGTATTAACGCTTTTGGTCCGACAACGATGGCAATTAAAGCCGCCTTTCATTTTGCGAATAGTAAATGTTAGTACACGCTATAGCTGAAATCGATCGTGCGAGATAACGTGAAAAATCGGCGTTGGCAAAAGCATTGGACTTCGCCGGGGGGATAATTATATATCGGTCGGTTTATTGTCCTAATCATTCTTGCTATCCATTTATATTGCCGTATTTTTCGGCATTCAAACGAGAAACATCGAGAAACTCGAGCTATTGCGACTTTAATTTACAATACGATCGAAGCTAAACTGTAGAAATTTTTCCCAGATAATTTATAGATTTGTTTAAAAATGTTTACTTGATTATTTGATGGCAAAAATTAGAATAATAATTTTTAATATTATTATAAGAATTTTAAGACTATTTTTTAATTATATTTGAATGTGTTTCGTGTAATGCCAATCATAATAATCGGCACAATTGTTTAAACCACGTGTCTTTGGATAATAAAATATTCATAAAAAGAACGTAAAATAACATTGTATAAATACAACTTTTACATAATTGCGTTAATTGTTGAAAGATAAGTACATCATAACAATACATCAGTATTAATTAAATCTATTTCTCCCTTATATTACATAAATATATATTAACATAATTATAGTAATTATTGCAAAATGATAAATATATAGAGAAATATGTGACATTTCCGCGATTATTTAAGACGCGATATCAATCAGTGAGAAAGCGGAACAAAAAAACTAGATAATATGATAAAAATGTCGATGAACTTCGTCACTGTGTGACACAAATGCATTTCAATGTAAAGCATAATGACTGCATAATACGACTGGTATAGACACGTAATCGATCGGTTATTTATGTTGCAACACTTCATATAATTGGGGAAATGTTCCAGTAAATTGTCGACGGTGATCGTGTGATTATTCTATATCGGTCGCGCATGATGCGATAGGTAATCCAGATAGGTAATCCATATGGTATCCATATGCAGCATTTACCAGCGTAAATAATCTAGAGTGATTCAGATTGACTTACTGCGATAAGAAGATTTCAAGCGATGGATTCAAAACGTCGTGACTATTTCAAACATCTGACGAAAATCTCAATTAATTTTATAAATTATCCTTTTTTACCTTATTTACCTTATCCTTTTCTGTGCATTTTATTGTTTTTTAAAGTAAAATAAAAATCTATTATTAATAAATTATGTTGTTCATAATGTAACATATAATAAGACTTTTAAATTACAATATATAAGCAAATGCATCATATAAGGAAGAAACCTATGCTTAATAAGTTTCCGTATAGGTTCTTGATTACTGATCTGCTTTGATCGTATCGTTCTAATTATCTATTCGAAAAATCCAGTTTAATTAAGACTGAAGGTTTTAGACTTCCGCTGAGAAAAGAAACAGCAGTAAATCACTTTCAAAATAAGTACATTTTTTCCTAATGTCAATTTCGAAGACGCGATACAAATGCATGCATGCATTGCTAATGAACGATTCATTTTAAACATTTTAATATTATATTTATGTTTTTTCGTCATTCTGTACACAACGTTATTTATAATAATTGATCACAGATTTCAAAACCTTAAAGCATACATAATGCTCGTGTGCTTCAAGTCTTTTTTCGAGATTTAACTTATAATCATTCATGTCGAAACACATCTCAATCAAATATGAAACATTAAGGATGTATTAGGTACATGGTGACAGCAAAAAAATTACTGGAATTGGAAATTTATATTTTTCATATAAAAATGTATATTATATGTTTTTCCATATTTTTTTAAATTTGTGTTAAAGTACAAAATGTACAGAGTGTAACTGAAATAACGTCCACTAATCATATAGTGCTATTCCTAATAAAAAACTGAGACAAAAAGTCCTCTATCATTTTGCAATTTTCGCATTATTTTTTTTAGTTATGAGTAAAATGTCTAAAATCGACGCATAAGACAGCTTTAAAATATTTTTAAGAGTTCTTTAAAAAAAAATCTTCAAAATATTTCATAAAGAACACGAAAAGACATCTTAAAATTGTCTTATACATCGATTTTATCCATTTATTCGACAAATGCGAAAGTTGCAAAATGATACAGGACTTTTCGACTCAGTTTTTTATTAGGTATCGTACGATTAGTGGACGTTATTTCAGTTACACCCTGAAGAATACATCGGACATCCTTAATTACTATACATATATACGCTACAATTCTCGCGACTGCGAATGCTGTCTTCCTACGTTAAATCATTTTGCAAATTAATCGCACGTAACGACTCCTAGGAAGAGGAATCCTAATTCATGTCGCTGTCGTGGAGACACATACCGTCTGTTGATTCTTAGATCTCGTTTAAGAGGCGAAAGTGAGTCTTGCGATTCTTCCTTTTGCGGGCCATGTTCGCTTTTCATTTCCTTTTTTCTCCTTTTTTTCTCCTGACCATCTTCGCTGTTTATGCCAGTGTAAGAATGTTAATACCTCGTTCGTATGAAAATACCTTCGCTGTTCCTTTCTCTCCGCCGTCAGGCGATTCTAACGATCTAAGTATCTGCATAATTAACGTTATAGAGAAATATAAATTGCTCGGACAGCGCTGCAATTTGTCGAAATAGTCGTTACTCTCCTCTCCCCCCCTTTTCCCTTAAACCTCGGCGTTCGCGGTTATAATAAGCGCTACTATCGGGTTTCGAAAATTACTTCTCCGCAGGGAGGAGGGGGGTTTATTTGTTATACGTTATATTCTTCTATGTTCCTTTCCGCATGTCAATGCGGATTACCCAATACTCTAGTGACTGGAAACCCCTGATTTCATGACGCGATTATGGTGCGCAACAAATTGGAGGCTTCTTCTATCGTTTAAATGAGATTTTATATAAGGCAATTTCGATAGATTCTTAAGAGACGGCCGAACCCAACCGGGCAAAACATCGCGAACGTATCAAGTGCCGTCTCTAAAGCCCATAACTTTCGGAACGTGGTTTTGTTCGTGGTTTCACGTAGCTCTCACTCACGCTGCAGGTTTTGTGTTATATGAAACAAGAGTAGTTATAACACAGTTTGTTTAAAATTACTTTGGATATTGTGTTACGAAATTGAAACTAGCAACAACACGCTGTACCAACGAACCTGAAAAAAAATCAAATCGTAATCAGCTCATCTTAAGACTTGATTAAAAATAATGTCTGAAAATAAGTTTTCGAAACATTTATATTATACGTATGTAGATATCTGTCGTTTATTATTATAAATGAAAGTTATGTGTGTATTTTACTTAAATAATTCTAGTAAGAAACGAAACGAACTTTTCATAGAAAGCGTAAAGAATTTACCAAATCAAACTCCATGCGTTTACTAATTTATTCGTTCCAACTTTATTTTTGCAATATTATGTCATCACATTTTATCTTTCACATACATAAAAATTATCTTAATAGATTTACGATTTCTATAAATAATAATAAATGTATTTTCCATACAAAATTGTCTCACAAGTTAGTAATATCTTCGTAAATTGAAGTATTATCGTTTTTTGTATAACAGTAATAATTATCAAAATGTTACATGGTTTATATTTCACTGATTCGAATATAAAAATAGCAATATGATATAGAACATTTTGTTTTATTTATATATATATATATACGTAAATAAGAAATTAAAACGCGAAAAATTTTTAGCAATTGCAGAATCTCATGCACGTATTAGTAGCAGAATATTTTGTTGTATCTTAAACAGATTAATTAGAAACGAAAGCAAAGTGTAGTGATTTTCCAGAATTTCGCAAGCATATCATGAATGTCAGTAGAAACGCCTAACAACTAGTCAGACGACAACGAGGATAAAAGAGAAAAAGAAAAAGAGAACCGAATGCAACACTGTAGCGCGATTTTAGTCGAATTAAATTGAAGATTCAATCGAGAACTTGTGTAACGTTCTACCGCATTTCCCTGAAACGAGTAACGAAAGCAGAAAACAGGATTTGGATTTCAATCGCTGGTCATGTTATATATTTTCGTAAGAAATTCGCGCAGAATTACATACAAGAGTAATTATAATTATTATTACAATAATAACTGTACGTTCGTACAATACGAATATATATATATATTTATGTAGACATGTAACATTAAGAATAAATTGCATTCATGTTGGTTGATCGGTGAATGGATAAAGTTTCACAACGCAGTGCATCGGCGAGTGAAATGTGCAGGGCGACGTCGCGCGGCATGCGGCACTTAATTCGACGTCGATCGATCCAGGCGGAAGTAGTTGATCTGACAAATTTTTCAATTTTCCTCCTCTTTCTTCTCATCTCTGCTCCTCCTCTTTGCGAATGCAAATCGTTTGAATTTCGCGCAAATCGTTAATACCGCGCGATTGCTTCGTAAGATCAATTACGAGTTATCGTTTTTAATTTTTTCTTCTCCTTATCTTTTACTCTTGTTGTACATCTTTTCTTGTCTGTGTCAAATGAGTTATCAATGCGCAGGCTTTGAGTTATCTCGGAGTATCTTTACGAATAACGATTATGTCTCGAGTGGCACAATTAACGAAGGATAACATCTCTTGGGACGACACGGATCAGAAACTGGCGAAGCCGCACGTCGCGCGATCGTAGAACAGTCCTGGAGGAAACGGAACGGTCCGGCGACTAATTTGCTCCGGTTCGATCCTCAATCGAACAGATTGAAGACTGCGGAATTGATTGACTGCAGCCACGTCTTTATTTCGGCGGGGCCGGTGGACGATCGCTTCGACGATCGGATAAATCTGCGAATCGCGATCGAATCACAGCGGACGTCTACCGGCACCTCTTCCTCTTCCTCTTGCGTACTTCCCCTCCTGCTCCTCCGCTCCTCTTCCCTCTTCGTGATCTCTGAGATTTCTTTTGCCGCGGATGAACGACCGACTCCTCTCCTCCTCGGTTTGTACGCCCGCTTCCTTCTTCTTCTGTTGCTCTCTTCCTCCGCTCTGGCCCCGATTACATGATTATGCACTTGCCTTTCTCGGCCCAGGGATTGTTCTTCTTGTCGGGCGCGTGTATCAGTGGGTCATTCCTCTCGTTCTCTTCCACGTACTCCCGCATCCTGCCAAGAAGAAGAATAAGAGGGTCAGCCGCGCGTCAGTCTCGTAATGCTGAAATTGCAACCTAGCAACACATGCGTTACTACTCCAGCGTAGCTTACCTAAGACTATGGCGCAATAAACATGCGATTGTGATTCGTTTCTAGTGGAATTAATTCTTCATTACGCGACCCTTTATCTCTTCGTAGGTGTATCTTTTATTTATTCATAACATACATGTGAGAGGATGATTAGACAAATTGTCGTTTTCAAATGTAAGTTTCAAAACTTTAGAATATCGTCATACTAAATAATATAAATTATGTAATACATGTACTCCATCTTTCTATCAAATATATTTAAAATACTTATAAGTTTTTAAAATTATACTCAAATTAAAATAATATATTTTAATACAAAAATATTTTTTTATTTCAACAAATTATCCCTGGTAAAGATATGCAGTTTTTCTAGAACAGTATTGTTTTCCAGTTACTGTCTAATATTACTGCATTCTCATTAGTTGTGTCAATACTGAGTAAGAAATGGACAAGAACTTGATAGAGTTTTATGTCCATTTTATGAGCGATTGGCTTGCAATTTAACATCCATTATTTTGTTGTGTTTCTATTCAGTAAATGAATTCAGATTTTACGCAACTTTTGAATGCAATAACTGCAAACAAAGCGTTACATCCTAATCGGGATCCTAACTAATTTTCCTTCTCAGTTACTAGGCAGAAGTTGGTATAACTGTTTAGTAACTGCTCAAAAAATGCATGAAATTTCTACCAGATATATAATCTATTATTTTTGCACATATATATATATACAGCTTCTCTAATGAAAGTATTTTTCATTTTCGAGACAGGAATTAATGTACACCAAATTATCGATATCATACACGTGTCTTTCGCTCTCGATAACGAATATTTCATTCTCAATATTATCCTATATATTATATTAGGTGTTGGAATTAATTCGTAGCATTTTACAAAGTATTTATAAGTTTTAAAAGTACTTTCATTAATGTATTTTTTAATGCTCATGTGAAATAAATAACATTCTTTCATTAAAAAAACGCTACGAATTAATTCCAACACCTAATACTATAATATTATATGGTGAATGCCGGTGGATTGCTCGAAACTTGCCGAAGTGTCACCTGGTGACACCAGGTTTTCCAGGATCTCCTGGAGAATGTCTCGCGAGACGTTCATGCACGCGCGATACGATTACATCCGATTTAGTAGATCGCCGATAAGTTCGCGCCTCCGCATGTAGAGCGGCCGATGCGAGTCGACCAGCCGGTCGATCGTTCATTTTGCGAGGAAGTCGGTGAAAGGGACTCAGTTCTCGGTTCGCTCGAGCGGCCGATTTTGCGTTCAAGGAGAGTCGCGCGCAAAAGCGGCAACGGCACGAAGCTTTCGAACTTTGTTGCTGCTAGACGCTCGCCAGGCGCAAAATGTCCGTGGAATTCCTTCCTGCGGGATACGAGAGCGCTGCTCGGCGCACGTACGAGCGCATTTAACCCTTCACTGCGTTTTATTATCATATAAATGACGGCTGAAAAGCAGTGTTTAACATTGTCGCTTAAGCCTTCAGCGTCAGAGCGTGTATGAGTAAATACGCGACATTTGTTTTGAGTGTCAGCTGCAGTGCTTACGCGCACGAATGGCGAGGTCAACGCATACACTTTATGGCTACGTATATTTTTTAATATATTCCCTTAGAAAAGATCCTCTTGATAGTATTAATTCGAATAGAATCGTAAATAAGTAAATATTTCGTGTAATGAAATGCACCGCAGAATCAAACTGCACCTAATCGTTGTGCGAAATATCTGTATTCTTCTAAATTTTCACAATATGAGAAAATATATGGCAGAATAGAAGAAAATTTAAATCTTAAAATTGAATTGTAAAATGAAAAAGTAAAATGTAGTATATACAGTGAGAGCAAAAAGTATTCGTACAAGGAAATTT